AANAATATATATATATATATATATATATATATATATATATATATATATAAAATATAATTATGAATAAAATTAAAGAGTTTTTTGAAATATATAAAATTTTAAAATTAAATAATAATATCATAATGTATAAAATTATAGTATATAAAATTAATTAATAATATTATATATTATAAAATGGATTTATGAGGTTTACTTTTGAATACATACTTATTTTTGAATTTTTATTGAAAGAATAAAAATTAAATTATATAAATCAAAATAACTACTTAAAATCAAAATGAAACAAATTCAATATACAAACTAAATAAATTATATATTTCTGAATTCTACTATACATAAACAAACATTAAATGAATAATTAAACAATTTCAATAAAAAAAAATTAATAAAATGATTTTTTTAATTAAATTATATTTTAAAAATAAAATATAAAAAAAGAATTAATTAAATTTTAATAATATTAATAAAATATGTAGATATAATTCTTAAATAAAAATCTGAAAAATAATTGTCATATATACAAATCTATATAAATATAAAGTTTTATAGAATAAGTAAAAATATATTTATTAACTTGTATTCATAACTAATTTAATTTATAAGATTTTTTAAATATATATTCGCATATGAATAAAAGAATTCAATAATTAGACAACGAAAGATCGTACAGTAATTATTAATAATTTCTATTTAAAAAAGAGAATCATAGAACCATTCACGATTCAAAGGAAGAGGTGTGTTACCTCGTTGGTAGAAAAGGTAGCCTTTCGATCGTTTCAGAATAAACTTTAGGACCAAAGACCGAAACCTAGGTAAATCCTAAGTAAACCGGCCGAATTCCTTGTAAAACGTACTGCTGGAAGCGAACGTGCTCCTCAGGTGCTGCTGTGTAGGCTGGTGGGCTTCATTGTCGCTCTCATGTCCCAAAGTCACGATCGCGGCGTCCCTTTTCCCTCGGCGAGCGCCGAAACGTGCGCATCTCTGCGTCGCCGGATGTTGACTCTGTCGCCGCCGCGGCGGACATCGGTAGCCGACGCTCGTAGATGGATGCACTGTAGCTATGATTACTATTTAGAAATATATATATATACATGTATATATATGTGTAATACCAATTATTACCAATAAATTCCCTAATATTCATTTTCGCTTTTCTTTATTAGGTTAAGTTACATTAGTTTATAAAATTAAGATTTTTGCTTAATAATATATTATATATTTAACACATTATTTATATATAATTGATAAAAGAATAAAATGATATAAAAAAGTTAAAATGTTATTATTTAAGAATATTTATATAAATAATATAAATAATTTAATTTATGTATATGTACTTAAATAATTTTTGAATTTATTCGTACTTAAAAATTAGAAATATACAAATTTTTTTAAAATTACTTCTTTATCATTATTTTACAATTTAAAAAAAAATATTATATAATTTAATTAATTATTCAATATATCAAATCATAAGAATTTTGTAATTTTATTTCTTTTTTCTTTATAAATGATATAATTATATTTCAAAATTCATATTCAAAACAATGAACAATCGATATATCGACATCCAAAAATCGAAATATTTATATGGATTATATTTATATACATATATTTATGACGAAATTATTTTTTATTTATTTTTTAATTTTAATTCTAATTGTATTATTTTATTATAATAAATATAAATTTTCTATTCATTTTGTAATTTTATAATTCATTACATAAAATTCACTATTAAATTTTTATAAAATATTTTTATTTGTGTAATCTTTCCACAAAAAAGAAAAAATAACATATAAATATAAGATAACTATTAACATCGCTTTGCATTGTATGAACTTTAGTCAAATAAGAATCTTTTGGTTATAGTATTAAATTTCTATAATTGATCTTTTAATTATAAATATTTAAATAAATAAATAATTATATTTATATAATTATATAATTAAATATATATATAAATATTTATAAAATTTTATTTTAACATTCATAAAATGCAAAAATTAATATTTATAATTTTTTTTTCTCTTTCAATCCTATATTGTCGGTGAGTTATTTTTGAATATTTTTATGATTGATTTTTATGATTATGAAAGTTTTTTACTAAAATGATGTTATTAAGTTGATATTAATAACATATTTTTAATAATATATTCAAATATAATTGTAATATAATTTTATTCAATAAATAAAATTACTTATTATATTATATTTATATTCTTATTAAAATTTATAATTTTTAATAATAAATATTATTAATATTAATAATTTTTAAAATAGTAATAATTACAAAAAAATCAAAATTTTTATACAGTATAATCTTAAAATAATACTTTAAAAAAAATTTTTGGAATACAATTTTTTTATGTACTTTTTATATTCTCTATCTTTGTGTATATAACATATTAAGAGATAACTTTTATGCTGAGTGTTTGAAATTTTTTTTCTCTCTTATTCTTGTTATTCAATATAACGTTCCAAATTGTTGTTTTCATCTATTCCAAAATATAAGAATTATATATATATATATTGTTAATAAAAAATATACATATACTTATAATAATAAAATCATATACTGTAATTTATCAAAATATGTCATTTTGATATTTAAAATTTTCATTTGAAAATTAACATATTTATTAAATTCAAGTCAAAATTTTAAAAATATTGTTATACATTAAACAGAATGAATAAAATAGATAATTTTAATAATTAGAAATGCGAATCATAATTATCTTAAAATTTCTTTAAATATTTTCTAGACGGAGACGAAAATTGCTCCGAAATTATCAAACGAAACCAATGGACTAATATAAATGCAAAGAATATAAATTATTTAATTATTCCTATTCCATATGTTATAATTCATCATACAGTTACTCCGGAATGTAATTCTAAAGATACATGTATGTCTTACATCGAAAATATTCGTTCATATCATATGGATACCAATGGATGGCATGATATCGGATATTCTTAAGTATCATTTATTTTATTTTTTGAATAATTACCTATATATTTTTTAATATAATACTATATATATGATAATACTACATATAATATAATACAATATAATAATACTTGTTATATATAATAAAATGTTTAAAAATAATTAAAATATATTTTATTTCATTAATTAAAATTTTCTTTTTTTATATTTTTTATAATATATGATAATAATGTGTTATATATAATAAAAATAATTCAAAATAATTCAAAATAATATATTTAATTAATAATATATTCTATTTCATTAACAAAATTCTCTTTCTTTATTGATTATTTTTATATCTTATTAATTTTTTAATTATGTCATAAAAATCTGTTAAAAATGATTTATATTTTAAATTTTTTATAAAATAAAAATAATAATTATATAAAATAATTAATATATTATTTATTATTATTATTCAACAGATTTTTAATTGGCGGAGATGGAAATATATACGAAGGTTGTGGCTGGAATCATGAGGGTGCTCATACGTATGGGTATAATAAAAAATCTATTTCAATTGCTTTCATAGGAAATTTTCAAGGTATTTTTTTTATGTAATATCTATTTTTTTTTATGCTTTATTTTATAATTTAGTTTTAATTATAATAAATTTATATTAAATTTAAATTTAATAATTTCTTATTTAGGAAAGAATGCAAGTAAAAAAATGCTGAATGCTGCACATAAATTAATTCTTTGTGGTAAAACACAAGGGATACTTAGAGAAGATGTTCGGGTAATCGGAGGTAAACAAGCTATAGCTACGGAAAGTCCTGGAGTTAAACTTTATAAACAGATTCAAAGTTGGCCTGAATGGGTTTCTACTCCATAGTTATATAATTTTAATTAAATGTAGTACTTATTTAGTAATCACTACTTCTTTAGCAAGTAGTGTATTTACATTGTATATTATCAAATAAATTGATGCATCATAAAATCGAATTTTATGCATTTAATAATTTTTTAGCATTTAAATTTCTTTCATGCACATTTATTAAATAATTTTCTAAATAAAAGCTTTTATTCTTTTTTTAATGAAATTACATTTTAATTAAAAAATTAATTAATAAAAAAATTTTATTAATAATTTAATTTATTCATATTTTCCATATAGAAAAATATTTTTTTTATATATATTATTTTATATAATTTTACATTTTTTATTTTTCTAATAAAAAGAAGTTATTATATCGTTATAAAGAATTTTTCTTTTTTCAATAAAGTTCTTCTTTATTGTATTTTATAAATGATTCATTTTTATATTAAATTCATATTAATTTTATGACTAACAATACAAATTTATATATTAATAAAATAAATTTCTATCATCAGAAATTATAATTAATTTGAATATAAAGCCGATCTTAACTGATTTAATCTTAATTTCTAATAAAAATGTGACTAATATATTTAATAAGTAATAAATGAAAAACCTATTGAACTTGAATTGATTATTTGCATATGTGAATGCAATGCAAATAAATCATTTCATTTTGAAACTGATTCCAAAATGTTGTAGAATATTTGTTAATTTTTTTTTTTTTTAGATAATATAATCTTTATAATATAGTTATTTCTTATAAATATATGTAATATTTGCAATGTAATTTATTTTGGATTTTTATATTACTTATATATTAATCGTATATTTATTTCTAACTGTATTAATATTGTTTTTTATCAAATCATTAAATTCTTCGTCTTTTTCTTTCATTTTTTTCTTTTTTTTTTCATTAATTATATTATTATATTATCTTTTGTACAATACAATCAGATATTAATATTATCAGGGAAAAATTATAATATACAAAATTAAGTAAAATTTATTTGTTTAATGGAACAATTGTATACTTTATACAAAATTTCTATATAATATAATGAACGTTTACAAGGAAATACATCATTTAGTGCTCAATTATGGAATGAAATAGAACACTTATGGTTTTAAATTTAATTTCACTACTTCTTGGCGAATAACAGAAATTAATTCTTGATTTATTAAAAATATAAATCTCAAACCTGCAATCTAAAAAATGACATAGAAAATTAATTTAAAAATTAAATTTTTATTTAATATTTTACTCTATAATAAAAAGAAAAATGCAATTTAATACCTCAATTACACTATTATTGTTAAGCTTCATTTTATTTCCTGCAAGAATGGGTCTACTATCTACAAAAATTGGTCGTTTTCCCTCTGAAGAAGAAAAAAATCTCCATTATTCTTAATCGAATGGTTCCTTGTCTTCGTGAAACTTTCCAAGCTGGACCTTCTAATGTCAAATCTACATCCACATTGTGATCTTTTGTTGAACGACCTACAGTAATCTACCAAAAATATAAAATAAAAAAATAGAATAAGAAGTACAATAAAAGAATAAATAATAAGTTCAAGTAAAAAATATATTTCATATAATGTAATTCTAAAAAGATTAAAATCTTACGAAATTAATATTTATAAATAATTATTCTAAATATATATATACATTCTCTCTTTCTCTCTCAGAAATAATATAATGATATTTTTTTTAAATTACCTCTCGTGATCTCATTAAATATCTAACAAGTCTTCCTCTAAGTATTGCCAAAGTTTGATTATCAAAATCTGGTGAATTTACTCCTGTTACACTATCAACTAAAACTTGCCATCTACTCAATTCATTTTCTAACACTTTTATTTCTCTTTTATTTCTCCTATCTGCTGCAATAAGTTCTGCATCTACTAATTCATCTTTTTGTTCAATTAATTCTGTATCATTAATCATTTCTTCTGCATCAGAAAAATTAAGAACATGTTCACCTCGTGGTAAGCTTTGTACAGTTTGGTCAGGAAGAAGATGATATTGTTTCATTAACTGCCAATGAGCTAATAAAGCTTTTGCCGTTCGGGCAGAATAAAATGTATGAGCATTAGCTTCAAGAAGTTCTTGAAATATTTCTACTGTTGGTTGAGAAGTCTAAAAAAATAAAAAAATCTTATTATTTAAAAAATATATATAAAATTTAGAATAATTATTAAATACATCTTATATTTATCAATATAAATAAAATAATTTTATTAAATTAAAATATTTAATTACCGATTTTATTGTACCCAAAAGATCTTCTTCTGCTTTGCTATATAAAGTTCTTGCTTGTACACTAGCAATTAATTCTGGATG